CCGGACGCTTCCCTGTAGCCCTGGGGGTTGGACCCCGGACGCTTCCCTCTAGCCCTGGGGGGTGGACCCCGGACGCTTCCCTCTAGCCCTGGGGGCCGGACTCCGGACGCTTCCCTCTAGCCCTGGGGGTTGGACCCTGGACGCTTCCCTGTAGACCAGGGTGGGAAAAGCAGTTCGCTGACTGGGAGAGGCAGATCCACGAATGTCTACGAAGGCATCAGCTCCAACACTGAAAGCCAACATTGGCCAACATTCCGGCTTTTGAGAATCGTGTAACTGCTGTCTGCCTTGCTCTCAGGCAGGCCGTGAGAGCCATGGGTGCCTGGGGCTTCCAGCACACGGGCAAGCCCCTCAGCCCGGCAGTCCACCCACTGTTTGCCCCAAACTGATGCCCAGAACCCAGGTCCCAAAAATCCCTAAGATAAACCTGGCACTGTCTTCCTGAAATGTTGATCTCAGTGTCTTTGGAGAAAAATGTTTGATTAAAACAAGATAAAAATTAATTAAAATAAAAAGTATTAAAATAAACCTTAACCAAGTAAATGGGTGCTATAAATTTTGTAGAATGTAAACTTTGCCATTAAAAAGAAAATGCAAAACCCACCAGTTTGGGGCTTATGAGGGGCCCCGACTGAATCACACCCACCTTCTTTGAGATAACCGTAAGCGGTTGGGGTTGTGTGTCCTTGGTCCCTCCGTGGCGAGAGGTTTCAGAAGCAGGCATTAGCCTACCATTGACCTTTAGCTCCCGCCAACGATTCTCCCCTTTTATTCCCCCAAAATATACCTATGGTGTACCACATACCAGCACTATCCAGGAGACTTTATTAAATACTATCTCCCCTGCTTCAAATCCTCTCTGGCTGGAGGTGTTTGATGGCCTGTGGAGAACACGGCCAAGCAAACAAATGTTTTCTAGCTCTCGAGAAAACCACGGGTTTATAAAATCATAAAAAATAATCCTGCAATTTCTTCTTGACTTTGCATTCTTCTACCATAAAAACTGATTCTGTCCAAACGTGGTGTCTTTTAAACAGACACCTGCACCTCACTTGCTACAAGGACAGATTCTCTTTCCCCTGCTGGTGTGCAACATTGTTCACCAAGAGCAGACATCCTGCCCCAAACAGCCCCCTCCATCGGCAGCGGACCAGGCATTCCCACGACAGAAGGTCCCTCAGTTCGCCGCTAGGTGGTACTTTCAGAGATTTTCCTCTGTCTTTGTCTTTGCTGGAGTAGAGTGTGATGGTTTTTCTTCGAGCCAGGTTATTTTGACCTTGCTGGAGAGTCCGCCAGGTATTTGGCGCCAAGACCCCAGAGTGTGTCTCTTCTGCCCCCCAGATGTCCCGTTCCCGGGTGTGATGGCCAGGGCCACATAACCGGGAAGTACGCCTCCCATCGAAGCGCGTCAGGGTGCCCCCTGGCCGCCAAGAGACAGAAGGACGGGTACCTCAATGGCTCGCAGTTCTCCTGGAAGTCGGTCAAGACGGAGGGCATGTCGTGTCCCACGCCGGGCTGTGACGGGTCGGGGCACGTCAGCGGCAGCTTCCTCACACACCGGAGGTGAGTGGCCCTCTGTCCTGGCACCAGGCCCGGGCAGCCCCGCCAGGAGTGTCCGTCACGGCCTAACTCGACACCCCCATTTAGAAAGAGAAGGTGGAATGCTGCTTCCAAACTCATGACCTTCCCCAGCGAAGAGAGGAAAACCCTTGAGCGTGTTTAAGAAGCAAATCTCATTCCTATCCTGGGTCAGGACAGAGGCTTTCACAGGTCTTGGATCAGGATCCACAGAGAGAAACAGGCTGGAATTCTGCACACATACAAGTATCTGTAGGTTTAATCCTTTGGGCTAAAGATGGCGGGCAGGCCGCACGCAGGGAAGGAGGATGGTATTTGTCACAGGGGCCTCATGCTGCATGCCTGGGCCAAAAATGCATCAGGACATTTCCAGAAGAGCCGATCACCCCATTAACTTTTACTCACTTACTTTTAGAAGAAATATATGCAGTTCGATTATCTTAGCAGAAGAGGCCTGTCCGTTGAATCAAAGGGCGCTCGGTGGGTCCCCATGGATGGGTTAGGGTGGGCGGTGTAGACAAATCACAGAGGCCAATGGAGTCGGTTAACCGGGCGGGTGTCCCCAGCTCCTTGGAAACCAGGCTGGAAGGAGAAACGCAGTAAAGCCAGGTCCAGCACAGAACGAACCAGTGTCAGTTTGCAAACTGGGAGTCACGGGAGGTTCAGGAGTACAGAATGAGCCTTGAAATGTTCCTCAAGAGGAAGGTTGATTTTTAATTGTTAAATTCTGCTCAGGTAGAGAACTCAGATGGGATCAGGGAGCCTAAAGCGGAAACATGAATGCCTTTCCCTGACCTAATCTCTCAGCAATGGCTCAAGGCCCTGGTGTCCCCCGCGGACAGAGGGGCCCACGCAGCCCCACGCGGGCTCACGACTCCGGGCGTGCACAGCGACCTTTCTGTCTCTGTGCTCGCATGGACCACACCGCTCGTACTGGGACGGCCCCGGTCCTGCTCTACAGACACTAGCCCCAAGCCCCGGGGTTTGCCGCCTGCCCCCAGGGCCAGGAAGGCTCCCTCTTTGGCCCAGGTCCCTGCCGAAGCCACAAGGTCCCCAGACGTGACCCATGACACCTGCCCTGCACGAGGGCCACCAGCTCTGCTGGACGAGCCTGCACAGGGCCTGGGAGGGGGCATTGCAGGGCGGTCAGAGGGCGTTCAAGTCAGAGCTCCTGCCGTGGGTGGTGGAGCTACATGGACCGGAAGCCTTCTCTGACTATAAAGCTGAATCAGACGCTGTGAACGGCCACCTCGATGTGCCTGTAGGCAAGGGCTCTGAGCCCACAGGTATTGGGTGATGGAGCCCCATCTTCTGTAGGGTCTGACTGTGCGTGAAGGAAAACAGGCCAGGGGGCACGTGGGGAAAGGGGATGAACAGCACTGTGAGCAGAGCCGACGGCATTTTGCTTCCATTGTGGTTAAAAACACATCTTCCCACCTTAACTATTTTGGGGTGCACAGCTCAGTGACATTGAGGTCACTCACGATGTCGTGCAGCATCCCCACCATCCATCTCCAGAACTTTGCCATCTTCCCAAACTGATGCCCTGTCCCTGTAAACCCTCGCCCCCACCCCGCCCCTCCAGCGCCTGGCGCCCACCATCCACTTTCTGCTTCTACACGTCGGAGTCCTCCAGGGACCTCCGATGAGTGGGATCATGCAGTTTGTCCTTCTGCATCTGGCTCACCTCACTGAGCAGCGTCCCCCATATGTGGCAGGTGTCCGAATGTCCCTCCTTATAAGGCTGAACCACATCCTATCGTTTTCATTTATGCTGTTGGGCAGGCAAACCGTGATTCCCGGACGGTGTGAGAACAGTCGTCCTGGAGAGAACCCGGTCAGGGGTGCAGACATTGTCTCCTGGAAGCTGTGGCCCCGCCGTGGGGAGCGACGAGCCGTGGGCCTCCCAAACCTTAAGGCCTCGGTTAGGAGGGGCCCTGGGAAGACCCCGCTGATGTGCTGAGACGGGGGGTTCCTCCTCTTCCCCCTGTGCTGTGAAAACAGCAGGTTTAGAATCAGAACAAAGACTCCACGGACACAGAAATGTCCCGTTCGTCCCCTTTCCCCTAAACTGTGGCGGCTCCTCGGGCGGTAAAGGGTGGTGTTTAACGGTGCCAGGATGTAAACAGCAGACGAAGCAGGAGCATAGGTCTGGGGCTTTGGGGCCACGGAGCCGCTGCCCCCAGTTTCCTCCTCAGGGAGGTCACGGCTGCGGGGGCTGCGGGGGCCGCGGGGGCCACAGGGACAAGGACAGTCGGAGCCACGGAGCTCTGTGCGCCCACCGTCCCCACGTGCTGTGAAACCGTTTCATTTATTTTGTTCCTTCGAGGCTGGGGGCCACGCTCTCAGGTCTCCAGTCCGTCCTGAGCAGGGCCGCTGTACAGGACATGGACAATGTCTTATTTTATCTTTAGGATTGCCTGAGTCTTCCTAAAAAAGCAGTGTTTAAGATGAAAAACAAGTCGTTCAAAACCAGATATTTTCTCATATAAATCAGACAAATTTCTATTGGGATGTGTCTCTAACATTCGGATAATAAGGAAAGTAGAGCTCCTTGCTTTCTGATTATTTGGCACATTTTTATAGCTCATGCCCTCCAGGCCCGAGGGATGCTTGTCGAGTCTTCGGGAACGACCAAGTCTCCCCGCCGGGGCTGCTCCCCATCCTCACTTCGAAGGCCAGCCGTGAGCAGAACGGGCGTGGTCCCCCAAAGTAGCAGCAGTGGGCCGTCCAGTGGCCGCACGCACCTCCCGGGGGCTGGGCAGAGGGTTCCAGAAAACCCAGTTGGGGACCGCGAGGCAAGGAGACCCAGCGACCCAAACCGGCCTGGGAGAAGCCAGAGGGCAGAGGGCGGGTGTCGGAGGGGCGAGCGGGGATGCGGCTGGAGGTAGAAGAGACGCGGGGTGAGGGGCCGGTATCCCCCAAAGGCTCGGGCGGGGGCACAGCCTCAGGAAGAGAGAAAGGGCCTGTTATCAAAAAGGGAAAAGCCGGGGACAGAAAGACACTGAAGAGCCGGGCGGACGGGCAGGCAGAGCTCGGGGGAGGTCAGAGCCTGGGCCGGGGGTCAGGGCAGGTGGGCCCAAGGAGAAGCTGCTGCGGAGAGGGGGTCAGTGGGCAGCGGGCGGGCAGGGGGAGGGCCCTCAAGACCCAGTGACCGTCCAGCAGCTGCCTGGGGGACAGCCAGCGGCACGTGAGAAAGCTAAGCAGGCGGCATCCTGGCGTAGCCCTGGGGAAACACCGGGGCACTGGGTCACGAGGGCCACTGAAAGTGGGTGTGGGGGGGCAGGGACGGGCAGGAGCTGGGAGGGGCTGGCTGACGGGGCGCCCCACAGCCCAGCCTGCCCCTGCCAGTCCCTCGACCTGGCTGCGTCTCTGGGACCGTCCCCCACTCCCAGCCCGCGGCTGAACGCCATTCCCTCCTCATCTTTGCACCTCTCACCTCCCTCTCTACCTCCCCCTCTGCCCTGAAAAGGCCTCCTCATCCTCCAGCATGTGTGGGGCTCCCCGTGTGCCCAGCAGCGTTGCAAGCACCTTCCTGTGTTAACCCTCGGAGTCTTCGTGGGAGCCCAGAGACATAGGCACCATCGTCTGCCCGGTTAAAGACTAGAACTCAGGCAAGACGGGTGACGTGACTGCAGGGAGTGTGTAAGTGACAGAGCAGGACTCACACCTGGGCGGCCTGCCTCCTGCCTTCCAGGCCTCCTCCTCTGAGCTGTGTGGCCTCCCCTCAACCCTCAGCATATTTACGGACCCAGTGACACAAGGCCCACTTCCCTCTCCCAGCCCAGCGGTCCCTGCACTTCGTGCCCCACCACCGAGTAATGGCAGGGTCTGCCCTGCTCTGCTGCAAAGGTTTCTATCCATGGGACCGTTCCCTGGTCCCCCACACCCACAGCACCTTGCCTGGGCCCCACATACCAGCATTTAAGAAATGCCGCCACACATCAGTGAAAATAGGAAGGAGGGGTGTGTTCATTCGGTGCAGAGCCTGCCTCATCCGAGTAGGGAATGCTTCACCAGGTGGGAAAAATCCTGAGGCAGCAGGCTCCAGACCACAGTCCGGGCACCAGAGGCATTAGGTGGAAGGGCAGGACAGAGGGGGATGCTCCGCCAGAGTCCCCCTGACCCCGGAGCCCGAGGGGGGAGGCCGTGTCCTCAGCTCTTGCACCTGCTTCTCTGTGTGGGAGTGTGAGGGCAGAGCACGTCTCTCCCACCCAGCTCACCGCACTTCCAGTAAGATTAGGAAGGGGCCACAAAATCAAAGTCCCTAATGCTAACCCTGGAAAAGTAATAAATAATCTTAGAACTAAGTCTTAATAAGCAATCTTAGAACTCGTCTTATCTTTCACTGGGCTTGACCAACATGAAGTTTTTTCAAAAAGGCCCCGCCTAGACCCTCTTAAACTTTCCACCCAGACCCAAAACCTGATTTATTTTATTTTCAGGTTCCTTACAGTTCATCACAAACGGGGAGATAGCCTTTTTCCGAATGTTTATTTTGCTTGATACTTGCCAAGAGAATTGCATTAAAAATAAGCCCCCGTCCTAAGTATTTACTCTGTGAGTTATTTTATAATCAATCAACTCACGCAGTTCTCTGGAGGAGCACCTACCACTTGCTTCCCTTCAGCCCCACGGGTAGACCCAGGGCTCAGCATCACCAAATGCAAGGGACGCTGGGAGATGTAGTCTTCCCAGGGGATGCTGGGAGATGTAGTCCACCTTTGGGAAGTGGGGGAGATGGAATCTTTGTGGGCCCAAGAAGAAGAGGAAAGCTCTATGCTATGTTGAGAAGCCATAGTTTTTTACAAACACATACACAATCACTGAACCACAGCACCCTGAGATCTGTATGGTCCCGATTTTAGATCAGACAACCAACACCAAGAAGGCAAGACGCTCTCCCCTGGGCACACGGCCCATAAGGAGAAAAGCCTGTCCGGCGGGCATCACACACGGACCACCTGTGTCCACCTGCAAGACCC